TTTCCCCGTCAGCTGGAAAACGGCAAATATCATTCTCATCAGAAAGAAAGGCGAATCCAGCAACAACACCAGAAGTTACCATCCCATCAGCCTGCTCCCTGCACTTAGAAACTCACCGAAAGAGCCATAAAATGGGACCTCCAAAACACAGTCGACACACAAAATCTAATACCCAACGAACAAATGGGTTTCAGGAGTGGGCATTCAACAACGACCCAAACCACTCGACTGTCATCCCTCATATTTCAAGGGTTCAACAGAAATATGGAAACTGGGGCTATATTTCTGGACATCGCAAAAGCCTTCGACAAAATGTGGCACCAGGGACTTTTGCTGAAGATGCTGCGACTGAACATACCACTGTACCAAATTCGACTTGTACGCTCCTTCCCGACCGACAGAAAATTCAGGGTGACAATCAACAGCCACTCTACTAACGAAACACGCTCGACAACCAGACTAGTCCTAGCCGGAGTCCCCCAGGGTCCTTATTCTTGAAACAGGGGAGCAGCGTTCCCAGGAGAACGAGTGTTCCATCTTTGTTACTTATATCATCATTTCCATATCATTGAGAAAGACGGGACACGCGCTCTCCTGGGAACGCTGCTCCCCTATTTCAAGAATAAGGACCCAGCAGGGCTCATCGCTCAACCCACTGTTGTTCAATCTTTTCATGGCTGACTTACCCACCTCACAAGAAACTGCACTACTCTCATACGCCGACGACACAGCAATAGTTACTACCGCCAGGACCCGCCCCATAACAAGACGTCGCCTCCAAAGACACCTTAATAGCCTCGAAACTTGGATGGACAGATGACGCCTTCAAGTTAACCCAAGAAAGACCCAAGCCATTTGGTTCTCCAAGAAAAGAAAACGCCCACCAGCAGAAAAATTAAAATGGAAGAACGCGGCCCTACCCTGGAAAACTCACATAAAATACATAGGAATCATTTATGACTGCCACTTGAACTGGAGACTCCAAGTGAAATACGCAAGAAACAAGACCATTGGCCAGCTAACACAGCTCTACCCTCTCTTAAACCGCCACAGCCGTCTCAACACAAGAACGAAAATCAATACTTACAATCTGTACATCGGACCTATATTGACATATGGAACTTCCGCCTGGTACGCCACAGCAACACCTGAAGTCCGCCATTCACTAGCCAGCTTGGAAAATCGAATACTTCGAAACCGCATCCTGAACGCACCATGGTACGTCCGAAACACAACCATCAGAAGAGACACACAAATACAGGATCTAGACGACCATATACAGGACTAATGCACCAACCACGTCACAAAGGCTCAAACCTCCACAAACCCCCTAATTAGAGAATCTCACACACCGGCCCCGCCGGGTTCAAGACATCTCCCCCAGGGAACCAAATCTAAGGCAGCGATGACAAGCCTCCCACTCAAAGATCCGGCATGTAGGATCAACCCATTCCTATCATGATTTGGGAATCCAGAAGATGCACTACTATAAATATGGGAACATAAAACGCCTTGGGTAATTTGTTAGCAGGTATTTTTAATTCAAACGTGCGCATTCACCATTTTTACAAAATAATAAATAAGGTGGAAGATTTCTGTCTTTTTGTTATTTTTAAATCTGAAAGGTCTTCCAAATTCTTCGAATTGCATTTTGTCCTCCAGCTTAAGGTTTCATTAATAAATTGCTAATTTTATTAATTTTTTGTCTAATGCCTATTTATTGGTAAAAAACACTAACTTGAATTTCAAATACCAATCCGCCGATGCATTTACGCACCGTACAACCACAGCATATTCAAAAACAATCAGCAGGCTAACTCTCACGCGCATCTTTTCTGCGCACGCCGCCATTAGGGGATACGATTCTGTCATAACGCTGTCATTAAACGGCAGGGGCGCCGAAATTTCATTTTATTTGTTTATTTCTGACGGAGGTCATAGTCGTGCGGTGTAGAGCGAAATTTTAGCTATGATTTTCAAAATGATTTTAGTATATTCGTGTTGTCATTTATGGTGTTATCTATTATCATTCTTGTATATTCAATAATAATAATAAATTAGTAATTATAAATATTATTTATATGTAAGTATTAATAATAAATAGGTTTATTTAAAGCCAATACGACTCTGTGACACGAAAGAAAAAACCTAAATTATTGTTAATCAGGCCCTGTCTCGTATCCCAAAATGGCCGCTAGTGACGTCCCGACCATGAATTCCTTTATTACACGGGCTGTCACTCGAGTTAGCCTGCTGATTGTTTTTGTATATGCTGTGGTACAACGCCCGCCATTCGCCAACCTACTAAAATGATTAAAATTATGCTGAAATTGCCTCAAAAACTAATCCGAGCCGAGCCGCTCGAGCAGGTGGCCCCGTTTACACGTATGAAAACAAGTGGTTAGTGCAAACGCGGCGTGAACTCGAGTAACCGTTTAGGCGGTTACACACGGACGTGGATGTCTGAAAACATGTACGCACATACATGAACGCGCAAACAAAAACATCAATGTGTATGCAGAATACGGTCGCGTTTTTCAATGTGCAAGTGGTAGAAATTTTGTATGCACACTCGGAACACTGTAGAGGCGGTTACACACGGACGTGGATGGCTTGATACATATACGTGCATACATTAACGTGCAAACAACAACGTACCATCGACACCAAAAGTAATTGGGACACAAATAATGCATAATAATCTCCTGGACTAATTCTACTGTCATTCATTTCAATGCACTTAATGCATAGTTTGACAAATATTTGACAATAAAATTCATATAATAGGACAAGAGCTAATGTGATGCTGTCCCAGTTACTTTTGGTGACGATGGTACATGTCACCTTTGTACAGACGCTCGCACAAAACTGTCAGTCTTGCTACTCTTGCTACAGTATTCTGAGTGTGCATACAAAATTTCTTGCGATTCCAGAATTCATTTGAGTGTCATTCTACAGTTTGAACATTCAAAAACGCGACGGTATTTTGCATACATATTGATGTTTTTGTTTGCGTGTGTAATCGCCAGGCAGTTACACCACGGACGTGAATTTCTGAAAATATGTACGCACATACATGAACGCGCAAACAAAAACATCAAATGTGTATGCAAAATACCGTCGCGTTTTTGAATGTGCAAACTGTAGAATGACACTCAAATGAATTCTGGAATCGCTAGAAATTTTGTATGCACACTCAGAATACTGTAGCAAGAATAGCAAGACTGACAGTTTTGTGCGAGCGTCTGTACAAAAGTGACATGCACGTTGTTGTTTGCACGTTGATGTATGCACGTATAATAGGTATGTATCAAGCCATCCACGTCTGTGTGTAACCGCCTTAGCAAAAGACTGCAGTTTTGATAGTTTTGTGCGAGCGTCTGTACAAAGACCCCATGCATGTTGATGTTTGCACGTTGATGTATGCGCGTATACCGGGTGTCCCACTAAGGTCGGCCAGGTACGATATTATGGAGACCATCATAGACCTCACGTAACTTGAAAACGAATACAGATATTGAATTGCGGTTTGCGCCAAAATGTAGATATTTTTTTGCTCTTTAAGCACAGCAATACAAAAATAATATTATGCCATTTGGATTTTTCATGAAAATTATGAAAAACTGCATCTTGAATAAACAGCGCCCTCTAGCAGACGCGTTGGGAGCTATCGACCTCGAACGAAGTGGTGTTCTTAATAACAATGAAATTCTCTTCCAAATAAACCCAAATTGAATGAGTTTGAATGAGGGATATGGAAGATACAGCAATTTCTGAAAAAAAAATTTCACCAGCTTCCCCCACGCTTATTACTGAAGATACGAAAAAAAGCCTGATAACCAAACTGGCGCAAAAATTAATGAACTTTTGATTTCTGTCGTTAAAACAGTATCTTAATATAGCGATTTCTTGAGAAAAGTTGAATTTTTAGCTATATCATCGTAATTGCGCCCCCTAGCGGTCATCCTAGAAACTTGAAAATAATTTCCATCAATTTCTCTTGGCCGATTTAGTGAAGAAAAAAAAAATTCCGAAGCTGTAAGGTCTATGGTTTCTATAATATCGTACCTGGCCGACCTTAGTGGGACACCTTGTATGTATCAAGCCATCCACGACCTGCGTGTAACTTGCCTTTTCAACGTATTGTCATGTTGCGGCGGAGCCGTTGTGAGATGTGCTTGGACGGATAGTCCAGCGAGTTTAGTTAAGTCAGTCGCATGAATTATTTGTCTAGGAAATTTAGAAATATTAAAGACAGAAATTTTTTCGTCGGGATCAAATTATAAAATGATAAGTAATTTGACCTGACGATTGTAATAACTATTGAACTAAAAAAAAAAAGAAATTATTTTTAAAGGACCGACATATTTTGCGCCAGTGCCACGGCCCCTTGGTCCCTTAGGGCGAGCCGCCACTGGTTTCGATCTTAACCCAATTGAGGGTGTCTGGGACATGATCTATCGCCGTTTTCAAGAACTTTCTAATCCTCCTAAAACTTTGAATGGACTTACTGGAGATATTGTCCACACATTGAATAATTTGGATTTAAACGAGATAAGGCCGTAATTTTAACATAACAACTAGTGCTAAAAGTAATCACTTTCAACACCAGTGTCATAAAATGGCATTTTAGACACTGACAGCATCCATTAAAAATGACACTTTTAATGACGTTTGTAGAAAAAAAATATTATTTTTACTTTTTAGTAATTTTCTATGAAAATTATCTTCTCTGTCTCGCTAACACATATTGACATTTAGTTCTTATGGAAAGTGCCAATAATATAAATTTTTCGAAAAGAATTTAAAATATAAATAAATAATAATTAATTATTGTAGTTTTATTGTCACAAGAATCAAAAATATCTACAGATAGGTATTTCAAGCAGCGATCTCATCATTGAATAAAACAATATGCTATTATTATTAAATACACAACTACCCTAATTTGTTCTACAAGTAAAGCAAACACATAAAACTCCAAATTGATCACTAAATTATTAATGTTCATTCAAAACAAACTGTACAGCAACAATACCGAAAGCGAAAACATTGGCCAAAACCAATCCCAAAATTTCCAAATCGACTACGAAAAATCCTGCAGCGCTTAGTACAGGACATCTAGTTTCAGCTTGTTTAGCTAACAAAATAAGCTGGCTTTTAACGAGAGCCGCCTCGCCGTCCTGAGCTTGAAACCATTGATTTTCCAAAATTTTGTAGCTGTATATGCTTGTATTACGGCCTTCTTGTGTCAGACCACGTCCTACTAAGGCTATAAAAATTGTTAGTCCCTAAAATATTGTTTATAAATAATTTGTATATGTATTTGAAAATAATTTATTATTTACCATCATGGATAAAATCCAAACTAAATTATATACAATATGGCAAATCAATGCAATCAAAGGGGGATTGATTTTGTTCAAAGCTACTTCACGTATGTCATATTCGAATAATACTGTTAATGACCATACAATGTTAGCTATAATGCTAACAAGTTGTAAAAATATTATAATGCCCATGTAATCGTTCAAATGATCAGCTAGATGGCAAAGTTCATTGTGCTTTTTGGTTAACTTTTCAAGGATTGCAAGGCATTTTGGTGGTTTGTGAAGGTAAATGACTTTGATTTTGTTTATATTTAGATCAGCTGCCAATGTTGCTGCAGAAATATCAATACCATCCTGAAATAATTTCTATGAAAAATAGAATTACTATTGGACAAATTCGTACAATTTTGGTAGTTGCCTGATGATTATCCTCCTTATGATAAAGTAATAATAATTCTTGATTGAGATCAAAAAACATGCCTCGTAATGAATAATAAAGTTCTGATACTGAATAAATTGACAAATTTAAAAAGAAAAATTGAAAATCTTTAAAGAAATAATATTGGTAATAATTCCAACCAAAGAAACTTATGAAAAAGTAAACGTTGAGAGCCAAACATAAAATACCTAAGCCATTGAATATGTAGGTAATAATCCTGAAATAATTATTAATTATTATAATTTATTAAAAATTAATTTAATTTACCCAAATATTGTCCTTGTGCGTGATTTTGAAACAATATGACCAATTAACTTATTAATCAATTGCCTATGCTTCTTAAAGTTTATAATCACAAGAACATTAGACAAATTCGATAAAGTCAACAGAAAATATGCTACTTGGTCAACTAGAATTGTAGTTGCACTGGAATATACTAAAAAAGTTTTAGTATTATAGAATCAAACATAAATAAGTCTTACATTGTCTGTTAGATTTTCCATAAATCGAATACCCGTATCCAACAGTGAAAAAACTAATCAAAAACATCAAAAAAAAGCGTCGGAACCACCTTTTCGAAAATAAAACAAGCAGTTTCAAACCCCAAGAGTAAACTTCGTTCACCGATATTTCTCTTTGGGGTACCATGATTGATTGATTGAAATAAATTTTCACCTACATGTATATAACAAATTAAATTGAGATTTTTATCTAGGGGTGTTTATTAACCAAAGTGAACGTTTTCATTTAGATTAGTTGTAGATAATATCTTGATTATTGTAAAATCGATTACTGCATAACTTAAAAAATCTTTGTTCAAATATCCATTCCAGGCTCTTGAATTCGCTTTATACAGGGTGTTAATGAATAATGGGATCAAACTTCTAGGATAAATAGTATAAACATGAAAACTCCTCTCAAGGTTGGAGAAAGAAAAATTATACTATTTAAGCTTTAGAGACTGAGATTGTTTATAAACACTTTATTGTTCAAATTTTATTTATTAATTTACAAGGTGAAATATTTAAATAAATCCGGATGTCTTAAGCTATTATTATTATTTTTTTGAAAAATAACATGAGACTTAAGATGGGATTTTCGCCTTTTTCCCTATAACTATCGAAGATAAACCGAGAGAGGTTGAAGGGAAGGGAACTAACAAAATATACATGGTGTTCCATTTGAAATAATATTACTTCGCACTACTACACTTTTTTGATGCAACCTGTATACTTGAACCTGAAAGTTGATGATGATGGCCCAAAGACGAAACGTCAGATTTCAAATTACCTGTAGAGGAAAAAAAGTGGCATGATGAATGTGAAATTTTGTATGCTTTCAGCTATTTTCAAATGGGATGTCCTATATTTGATCCTATATTCTTGAAGAGTACAATGTCCCGATTCCAAAAATATATGGTTTGTCTATATTTGGTTGAGCAGTCTTTTATATATTTGGCTCGAAATATTGTGAAAATACTATCCTACTACTGATTTTGTGAACCATTCTACCTGTACAGGTGAAAGCTGCAGGTAAAATTTGAAATGCTTGGTTTCTCTGATAGTATTTTTGAAATTTTTAGAACCAAAATATGTGGGAGACGGCTCAACCAAATATAGACAAACTATATAGTTTTGGAATCGGGAAATTGTGCTCTTCAAAAATATAGAACCAAATATAGGACATCCCATTTGAAAAAAGCTGAAAGCATGCAACATTTCACATTTCTGATATTCAATTTTTGTTTCTCACCATGGATTCTAAAAATTTAGCCAAAACTGTACAATTTTTGTATTTACACCTTTCTTCTACGTGTAACGGTAAAGGCTGTAGGTGGGGTGTCAATATAATAAAAAAACATCCTGTACATTTCTTGGACATTAAACTACCTGTATTTCAAAAACTAATCATAGGATTAAATTGTGCCCATAGTAGTTATTGATCAGAAAGGTGAGATCTATAACATACCAAAATTTGGTTAAATTTGACCGCGATTAGAAATCCCATAAGAAGTGAGGGGGTTTTTTCTGACAAATTTTTGTGTTTGACTCAACAACTTTTGTATTTACACCTATCATGTACCTGTACAAATAAAGGTTGCAGGTGGGATGTCAAATTATAACCAAACACCCTGTACAGGGTGGTCCAAATTGGACACTTTCTTATGGAAACACCCTTTATTTTTAGAGATAGAAAAAAATGGACCCCCCACTCTGAGGCTCAAATTTCATGAAATTTTGATTGGTGCAAACCGCATTTTGATATCTTCAGCCGTTTAGGCGCTAGAGGGCGATTCTCGACTTTGAGCAATACTGTAAAGCCTCCATAACTTTTTTGTTTATGGAAATAATTTATTTCCGTAGAGACCTTTTGAAAGCACTTTTTCAAGCAGAATTCAGTGACGTTCTCAGTTTTTTTCTGTCTGGCTTCGATTTCGAGATATTGACCAAAATCCGATTTTTTTCAATAGGACACTCTATATATTAATAGTTCATTAGAAAGCTATGCTTTCGCTGATTTTAATGATACAGGTTTGATAGGTTTATCTTTAACAGTTTTCGAGAAAAAAAATTATTTCGGTTTTTGTCATAAGAAACAATGTGTAAGAAAGAGACCTTTCTCAGTTTCCTTACAGAGACAAAGTCCTTTTCCAACACATTGTTTCTTATGACAAAAACCGAAATAATTTTTTTTCTCGAAAACTGTTAAAGATAAACCTATCAAACCTTGTATCATTAAAATCAGCGAAAGCATAGCTTTCTAATGAACTATTAATATATAGAGTGTCCTATTGAAAAAAATCGGATTTTGGTCAATATCTCGAAATCGAAGCCAGACAGAAAAAAACTGAGAATGTCACTGAATTCTGCTTGAAAAAGTGCTTCCAAAAGGTCTTTACGGAAATGAATTATTTTCATAAACAAGAAAGTTATGGAGGCTTTACAGTATTGCTCAAAATCGAGAATCGCCCTCTAGCGGCTAAACGGTTGAAGATATCAAAATGCGGTTTGCACCAATCAAGATTTCATGAAATTTGAGCCTCAGAGTGGGGGGTCCATTTTTTTCTATCTCTAAAAATAAAGCGTGTTTCCATAAGAAAGTGTCCAATTTGGCCCACCCTGTAAAGGTTGATCTATTATAAATGTCACCCCCTTCTAACTTTTTCATTTGACATTTTTAACAAAAGTGTCAAATACAAAAGTTGCAAGAAATTGTCGAAAGTTTTCAACTAAGTCAGTTTTAGGCATGAATGGAATTGCAGGTTTGAATTCCTTTTTTGTGACGTTCCCTTCAGGTAATTTCTTTGAGTGGAATTACATCACTAGATTGAAGTAGGCCTTGCTAATTTTATGCAAACTACTGGTTGAATTTTTATACTTTATTAATTAAATGGTTAACAAAGAATGGCGCCAGCTAATTTATGAGAAAAGTATATTTCTCTAAAATTGCGTTGTGTGACGGAACTAGCTATTACCTTTTTGTGGACTCTAGTAATTACCGCACCAGGGATGTCAAAAGTTTTTACTTTGACTGACTGTAAAAATTAACCATTAGGTGTTGGATCATTTAAGCCTTGTATTGAACTAGGGGTGCCTTGATTCTCATTTATACAAATAAAACGCTGAAATAGAATAGTTATCAATTTAATTAATAAATGAAGTTAATTCGGTTTAATCAGCAATCAAATCCTATCTAATAATTCCTATTTGGACGTCCAGTCGAACTACAAATTTTATACTAATCTAAAGTAAATAAGCGAGTAAATAAGTATCTTGATTTATAAAAAATAGTGAAATTTCATAATAATAATATCATTTATGGTTGAATGTTCAAAGAACGAGAACACAAATTAACTAATTTAAATTTACGAGAGCACAACACAAATAATTCGTGAACTTCAATCAGCTCACTGTATTCACAAAATGTTTATAATCCTTGAAAGTTCTTTTGTTTATTGAGAGTTAATAATTTGAGCACTTTTCTGCTGAAGTGTGTAAACAATAAGTGCAAGAAAAGTCTATATATATATGCTCAGTTTCTATATACAAATTTACAAATTAATGTTCATTTCACGAGTGTGAAAACCAAATTTCTGTATTAAAGGTTAGAACAAACACTTCAATTTATAGTGCATTTCAACCGAATCGGTATTCAGTATTTATTAATTTATTGTTCGACTGTTTTGAGAAATTGAAACGGTCTTACTTGCTTAATCCAGTTCATACCGGTAAATCCATATAGTGATTATTTATCCATTTATCACTATTCGTAGTAATTTGCACTGTCAGCTAAGGGATTTTCCACTAAGAGAGAGAACACAATGATATACAGAGTTGAAGCCCGTCGAGAGTGAGACAGGAATAACCTTAAACAGGCGTAGTAGAGAATTTTGCTAGGTCCGAGATGACTTGCAACAATTTAGGGGTTAATTACATGAATTGTAATCAATAATATCGTTGATAATATAGGCCATGTCAGGCCTTGAGACACTGGGAGTAGTATTTTACTATAATTCGCGTACTAACGGGGGTTTTCTGGGGGTTTTTTCCTCTGTAGAGCGTTCAGAGGCGAGAGGGTGCAGAGTCTTTGCTTACTCTTCTGCTTCTTGATTACTACTGTTGTGTACCGTGCCGTGCGTCGAGTCGACTGCCTTTTTCGGAGCAGGTCGCATAAATCAGGGATGTTGGGTGGCAACTGACCAATCACAACAACAAAATAGATCCATTGCTCATAGGGTAATGAAGAAATCTGTAATTTTACCGATTCAAAAGGGCTGCTGTTGCCAGTTTTACAGGAATCTTTTTTTAGAATATTATTTTTATGATAAATAATAGAAATTGATTATATTGATAAACTACAAATAATAACATTTTAAACTTGTTGTGGGTTATTTCCGCAACATATTCCCCCCCTTGAAGTTTCCAAACTTCAATGAGAGACGAAACATTAACAAAAAAAATAAACAACATATTTACAATAGAGAAAGTAGCAGGTTTTAATCCTGAATTGGTAAAGGACATACCTTTGCTATTCCTCGA